CGTGTTCATAGCATATCATGTCATTTTATTTACAAGATCCAATGTTACTAGTTTCCAGGAGTAAGTTATGCGAAGAACATAAGATCAGGCTTTAAAAGGTTTTTAAACACCTAAAGATGCAAAGACTCATGATTTCCAACAATGTGTTTCTTTAAGTACCTAAAACATTTTCTATCTGCCTCTGAATGCTTTTTTTTTTCAGCTACTGCACAACCATCTAGATGAATTTTCTGACATAAGGCACGAAGGCAGAAACTGCAGTAAATTTGCATAGTTTCATTTACATTAAAAAGAGCTATTGGACTTTAAAATGTATGATTATTTTTCCGATAACATTCTCTAAACGTATAAACATACGGAGATGTGCACATGTCCCTTTTCTGTCCTTTACACACCCGCACGCGTAGGGGCTACTTTCTTACCTTGTCCTTTGTCTATGAAGCTGGTTATTGTATTGGCAAGTCCAGCCTCCAGTTTTACACTTCCATTAACACCTTTTCTTTCTGCATCTGAGAGAGTCCTGTACAAAGAGAGCATGTATTCATGTGGCGTTATAGGGGGATGTCTGAACGTTTCCTTAGTTTCCCTTTGGGTGACAGGCTCTTTAGTCTTTTTGGTTTTGTAAGATGCAGTATCGGTACTGCTCGTGCCAGGTTTTTTCAAAGACGCCTTGCTGCTAAGATTTTGAACCTTTGGAGTCACTGTCCTCACTCCAGAAGGTCTGCCAGGGAGAAGTCCTACCTTTGTCTCCGTGGCTGCTGTTCTCGGGAGAACCTTCTTTGATTCATTGTTCTTGGCCAGGAGAGCTCCAGCCTGAACAGCACCGCTTTTAGTTCGAGCCTTTGAAGTCCCGGCACTATATCCATGGTTTCCAGTCCGCAGTGTACCTGTTCTTGCCGAGGGATTCTGCTCTTTTCCTTCTGCTTTTAACAAACCTAGTTTAGATCTTGGATTACTCTGGCCTGCTTCAGAATTACCCAGCACTCCAGGAACTAGATCCAGAGACAGCCAAGTCAAATGCCAAAGCAGTAAAGTGAGAAAATGCAGGATTTTCATCCTCTGGTCTTTCTCTGAATGCCGCTAAAGAGAAAATTGGGAAAGGTTCCTCCAGTTTGGCAGAAGAAAACATGAAAGAAATTAAAAACCAAAGTCAGCAAAAGTGGGTTTTGCTTGAGATTAAAACATTTCAAATCTCTTTGTTTAATGCTTGTATCCAGTCCCATAGTGGAAATGCTCATGTATTCAGATACGATCTCCCCTGGCTTCAGTTAGCAGCTAAAAAGAAATCGTTCTTGAAAAGAGAAAGTTTACCACCTCGTTTTCTTCTGTAAAACTGACTGAAAACTTGAAGGAGTCCTGTTTAAATCTGAAGGGTTTTTTTTTTTTTTTTTTTTTTTTCCAAAAAGGAAAAAGGGCGTAATGCTGCCCCTGTTTTAAAAGTTTTTTTTTAAAAAAAAAAAAAAAAAAAGTTTTGAATCCTTTCCAGTGAAAATATTTCACACACAGAGACCTGCAGGTGCTCAGAAATCTTTTACAAACCTGAACTCAGGAATTGGAAACGGAATTCCAACAAACCCCTTTAATTACTCTCTGATGTCATGCTGTCTAAAGTAATTTAACTGCGATATATTTCTTTTTTTAAAAAAAAAATCTTCTTTACCCTTTTCATTAGCATGACTCATACTCTGCCTCATGTGAAACAGCTCCACAGGCGCGACACTCCAGAGGATGCTTTTTCAAGCGGCCACGCGCCCTCGGCCTCAGCCTTCGGTGACCTGAATGGTCCAGCGGGGCCAGCCTCGAGCCCAGCAGCCGGGACCTGCCGTTGGAAGAGCCGGAGGTGACGGGCTGGGGACTGGCGGGAGGGAGCGCCTCACGGGGAGCAGCCT